TACACTCTGCTGGAACTCTGTTTAAACACTACCTATTTCCAGTTTAGGGGGCACTTCTATAGGCAGCAACACGGCTGTGCTATGGGCTCCCCGGCGTAGGGGTACTATAAAGCCACCCAAGATGATGCGCAACATGTGGGTTTGTCGGCGTAGTAGGTGTGTGCGTAGTTGCTGTCGGTATGATCATTGCTGCTGGTGTGTGATCACCATGGAGCCAGCTAGGAGTAAAAATGATTGACTCTCCATTGTATTTATTCACACCCTGTCCTAGTTACATGTGCACATATTACCATCCTAGCACATCCTCTGTTTCCTCAAGCATGCCTTCTCCCACCTACTACACTACATACTGTACATTCATAGACTCGACCGACTGACAAATCAATCTTTACAAACGTTTTCACATCATTCACACAAAGCCTAGTTACACCCATCACATAATTGTGTAGATGCTGTAAAGCAACATCCAACACTGTTTTCCAATTATTTATTATTGTATGGATACGAAGCACCCACACTATGTTATCCTGTTCTTTATTATTGTGTGGATGCTGTAAAACATCCGCACTATGTTATCCTGTTCTTTATTGTGTGGATGCTGTGAAGCCTCCACACTATGTCTTTATTATTACTTTGATTTCTTCCGTACGTTTTTCGGCGCTTAATTCCTTGAGCATACTTTCAGGTACAAAAGCCATTGAGATATCGAAATGTTCAGCTTTTTAAGCGCACGTGCTTGTATTTTTCTTATTTGTAACATTTATACTTTTTCATATATTTAGCATTTTTCAACAAATTTTGCCCCATTCAAATGAATGGGGAAAATTTTCACATCTTAATAACTTCAGCAAACCTTCAGCTAAAAATACCATTTCAACCATTATCTATTCAGCAACTCTTCAGCTATTCATACTGTAAACAGCTTTAGATATCTTTTACAGTTTTTGCATAATTACTGTTTATATTTTATACCTCATTTCAATAGCCACACACTAGTAGTCCTCTGGGTGTAGGACTACTCTTTCATTCTCATACACACACATACACACAACCAGTGGGAATATTTTCACTTCTTATTAAGTTCAGCATACTTTCAGCTACAAAAGACATTGAGGTATCAAAATGTTCCACTTTTTAAGGACATGTGTGCTAGTATTTTTCTTGTTTTTAACATTTATACTTTTTCAAATATTTAGCATTTTTAAACAAATTTTGCCCCATTCAAATGAATGGGAAAATTCTAATTCAGCATAATTTCAGCTATCAAAATGTTCAGCTCTTCAAGGACATTCATGCTTCTCTTAAGAAGTTTTCTAAACTTCATACATTTGAAACATTGAGCTGTATTTTGAAAATCTTGCCCCATACAAATGAATGGGGGAAATTCTACTTCAGCATACTTTCAGCTATCAAAATGTTCAGCTCCTCCCTGACATCCATGCTTCTATTCAGAATTTTCCTAACTTCCATCCATTTTTCTTCCGCTTATCCGGGGCCGGGTCGCGGGGGCAGCAGTCTAAGCAAAGATGCCCAGACTTCCCTCTCTCCAGACACTTCCTCCAGCTCCTCCGGGGGAATGCCGCGGCGTTCCCAGGCCAGCCGAGAGACATAGTCCCTCCAGCGTGTCCTGGGTCTTCCCCGGGGCCTCCTCCCGGTGGGACATGCCCGGAACACCTCCCTAGGAAGGCGCCCAGGAGGCATCCAAAACAGATGTCGGAGCCACCTCAGCTGGCTCCTCTCGATGTGGAGGAGCAGCGGTTCTACTCTGAGCTCCTCCCGGGTGACCGAGCTCCTCACCCTATCTCTAAGGGTGCGCCCAGCCGCCCTGCGGAGAAAGCTCATTTGGACTGGTACATCGACCGCATTACTGCAGAAGCTGCACCGATCCGCCTGTCAATCTCCCGTTCCATCCTTCCCTCACTCGTGAACAAGACCTCAAGATACTTGAACTCCTCCACTTGAGGCAGGAACTCTTCACCAACCTGAAGGGAACAAGCCACCCTTTT